CAGCGCCCTGCTGCAAGCCTGGGGTGGCCAGCCCAAGACACTGTCTGAGCTCACTCGGTCCCCACCAGGTGCGAGGCCCCTCCCAGGGCCGAGACCCACCCCCCATGTTAGGGCTGCAACGCGGGGTCTGCGGCCAAAACCGGGAGGGACGCCTCTCTACACCCACCCACGCAGAGACACACACCACCCCCCCCCACACCGGCTGGGGCCTCTAGATTGGGGCTGGGGTGAGGACCCCTCTGCGTGGGTAAGGGCAGCCCTGCCACCAGGCTGAGCCCGTCTCCCTCACCCCTTCCCCAACAGACGATGACCTCGTCCCCCAGGACCTGACCAGAAAGAGCCGGGACCCCGCCCCCACTGCTGGAGCCCTGTCCTCTCAGGATCTCAGTCCCCCAGACGTAAAAAAGGAAGAGGCTGGCTGGCTCCCTGAGAGGCCCGGGCCCGCAGAGGAGGAGGAGGAGGAGGAGGAGGAGGAGGAGGGCGAGAGGGTGGGGGTTTCGGGCCGGTCGCCGCGGGGCCGTGACCGCCGCCGCCGCTATCAGGAGCGCTGGCGGCTGGAGTACCTCATGGAGCTGGACGGCGGCCGGCGCGGCCTGGTGTGCATGGTGTGCGGGGGCGCACTGGCCTCGCTCAAGATGAGCACCATCAAGCGGCACATCCGCCAGCGCCACCCGGGCTCCACGCGCCTCAGCGGGCCTGTCAAGGCCCTCATCGCCCAGGAGTGGAGCGAGAAGGCCGCTCACCTGCTGGCCCTGGGGCTGCCCAGCCCCGAGTCCCCCGGGGACCCTGCCGCCCCCGGCACAGCCGCAGCCTCCGAGGAGGGGGGAGGGGAAGAGGAGGAGGAGCCAGAGGAGGAGGAGTGGTGGGGTGAGCTGGCGCAGGGCCAGAGCAGGTGGCGCGGGAGAGTGGGGGCAGGGACCCGGGCCAGGCAAGGGGCAGAGGGCTGGGAGTGCTTGGGTGGAAGCGGGTGGGGAGAGTCGAAGGTTGAAGGGGAGACTGGGGAGGACGGGGCAGGAGGGCCAAGGTGGGCGGCTGTGGAGCTGAGGCGCGAGACGCGGGCGGCTTGCCCTCTGCCGGCTCCAATGCGGTCCTTTGTCCCTTCCTAGGCGATGTCCCGCTTTCCCCAGGGGAGCCGTCGGAACGGCCCGCCGAGGACGACGAGGACGAGGAGGACGGCCAAGAGCCCGGGGGACTCGCCTTCCCGCCGCTGCCCCCCCCGCCGCCGCCGCCGCCGCCGCCGCCGCCCCCGCCCCGCAGCCGAGAGCAGCGGCGGAACTACCAGCCGCGCTGGCGGGGCGAGTACCTGATGGACTACGACGGCAGCCGGCGCGGCCTGGTGTGCATGGTGTGCGGGGGCGCGCTGGCCACGCTCAAGGTCAGCACCATCAAGCGGCACATCCTGCAGGTGCACCCCTTCTCCATGGACTTCACGCCCGAGGAGCGTCAGACCATCCTGGAGGCCTACGAGGAGGCGGCGCTGCGCTGCTACGGCCACGAGGGCTTCGGGCCGCCGGCCCCCGCGCCGCGCGACGGCGGCGCGGACCTCAAAGCGGGCGCCGTCTGTCGGGCTTAGCGGGCTCGCGGGGCGGGCGGGGCGGCCCCGCCCTGTGCTCCGCCGGCCCTCGGGCCCGGACACCCTGCTTCCCGCGGCCCTGGCCGCCGCCGCCGCCGCTGTCCCCCGCCCCGCTGGCCGGGCCGGGCGGAGATAGGAATTGGGTGGGGTCGCCGGCTTCCGCTCGGAGCCCCGGAGCCCCGGAGCCCCCCGGGCTGGTCGGTGCGCTGCGGGGAGCGCGCGCTCCCCTCGGATGCGGAGCCCTGGCCCTCCCCGCGCTGGGCCCCACGTTTCCCGAGAGGCCACCGCGGCCTCCAAGCGTGTGTGCGCCTAGGCCCTCCAGCCCCCGCCCGCGCCGGGCCCGGGTGGGGGTTGCCGACAGTCAGTATTAGGGCCCCAGGGGCTGGGGGAGGGCAGGAGGGCCGCGCCGGCCCGGGCCTCAGGCCGGGGCCCAGGTCCCTGCGGCGCTGCACGCCGGCAGGCACGGCCCCCGGGTCGGGGGCGGCTGCTGCTGGGTCCTCATTGGTATTCGCGGCCGCTCGGAGGCCTGGACTGCGGACGAGGGCCTCCAGCGGAGGGCGGGGCGGCGGGGCTCGGGAGCCCGCCGGGGCAGGGAGGACGCTTGGACTGCGGGCGGGCAGCCCGGAGGCGGGGGCGGAGCTGGGCGGGGGCCCCCCGGCAGCTGCGCCAGCCTCCCCGGCGGGCTCTGGGGACAGCACGCCCCGCGGCCCCTTCCGCTTCCCCCGCTCCTGCCGCGCCTTCCCGGACCCCGATCTTGTAAAGGGATTAGCACTTTTCTCCTTTGCTCCTCTCCTGCTCCGAAGACCTCCGTTTTCCCCTAGACCCAGGCAGGCACTCCTGCTCTGTCGTCCCCGTCGGTCCGAGCCCGGGGCACTGGAGGTCCCGGCAGTTGGCGTTCTATTCCCGTCCCCTCCCTGTCCCCCTTCGTACACGTTGGACGTGCCACCCATTCTCAGTCCCCAAGGGCCTGGGGCCGGGCCTCGGCCTTCTTTTCTCTTCCCCGCGGCAGCGCCAGGCCCGGTGGGGCCGGGAAGGGGCCCCGCGATCTCCCAGGCAGGTCCGAGTGGGATGTGTAGATTCATTCTCCTGTGGAGAACAGGTGGCCCCGAGATCAGGCCCTTTTTGCTCTTTGTATTTTATTTTGAAACTGTATTTAATGCTTTTATATGAAAGGGGGAGGGGCGGGGAGAGAGCTGTCCCAGTCACCCTTATGTGCAAATGTCTTATTTATTATACGTGTATCAGAGATAAGCTGTGAGGTGGTGGAGGAAAAGGAGGGAGGAGTGAGTACAGAGGTGGGGATGGGGGGCCCCAAACATCCCACACTAATGTGTGACTCTCCAGGCCTCTCTGGGCCCCCGTGTCTGTTCTTCACATGGCCAGGCCGGTTCCTGTGGTCTTACAGCCTGAGAGTGGGGAGGTGGGACTTGAGGGCGAGGCCAGGAGGCAGAGGGGCCCTGGCACCTGGGGCCAGGGGCTGCCTCTGTGGGCGGGAAAACAGCAAAAAGGAAGCCCTTCCTCATCCCAGCACCCCCAGGCCAGAGCCCACGGTTCAAGTGCCTCAGGCCCAGTCCCCTTCACTCTTCCTGATTGGGAATTGGATTTTATACCATGGATTTTATAGCATTTTTATATAACTCAAGATTGTCAAGAGTTGGAATGACCTTGGAGATCAACCAGACCCCGCCCCCTTGACCCCTTCGACAGACAGGTAGGGAAGTTCGGAAACGTTCACACACAGCCAGGTAGGAGCAGTATAGAACTAGAATAAAAAGCTCAACTCCCGACTCAGTGTTGTTTGCACTACACCACACTGCCTCCCAATCTCTGGTCAATTATTAAAGATTTCTTTTTCCCATGGGGCTTGCCGAAGGGTGGCACGCTCTGGATGCCACAGTCCGTTAGAGCACAGTGACGCTCCGGGGGATGGCAAAGACCTGCACGCCTCCCTGGGATCAGTGTCGTCCAGGGCAGCTCTGGCTGCCACGGGCTACAGCTCCGGGAGGTTCCAGCCTCCTCCCTCAGAAGTCCAGGAGCGGGGCTGACGGCCACCCATCCCATGACCTCTCCAGGAGGCCAAGGGCTCTGGCATTATGTTTTCTGTTGTAGGTGCCACCAGGGACAGCATTCCCTGAGTAGTGAATTCCATGTTTGAACCTCCAGGGGTTTTGAGTATTAAGTTTGAGAACAGGGATTATGGATGGCACCTGGCTGAGCACTGCCATTCTTTTATTTTCCTTCATGCATGTTATTTTCAGATCCAGAATGAGTCTTTTATCACTTTTTGCTACTTGCCTGTTCAAAAACAGGAGGCAGATTGGGGTGACCTATTCTGGTCACCCAAGCCCACTGCCAAAGTTCAGGTAAGCCAGGACAGAGAGCTGGTTAGGAATGGCTTTTCCTTTTGACAGACAGGGATGGAGGCCTTGGGAAGACAGGAATGAATGTCTTCATTGCGAGGCAGCCCCAAGCGCTCCAGAGGGTTCTCAAAGTGTGGCCATTGGACCAATAGCATCACAGTCGGAAACTACTAGAAACACAAATCCTTGGGCCCCATCTCGATGAATCAGAAATTGGGGTGGCACCCAGCAATCCTTTCTGATAAGCCCTCCAATGATCACAAAGCTGAAGATCTGAGCAGGAGTGGGCTCAGTGACACTGCAGTGATTCCTGCTTTGACTGCCCCTACAGCCTCTTGGGTTGGGGGGTCAGGTGGTCCTCCTCTCTCTGTGCCTCCTCCTTGCCTTGGGAGTCTGACATCAACAGGTGAAGTTTCTTCATGAGTTTTTTTGTTAATGGTATGCTTGCTATTATGGCCAATATGTAAATGTTACTCTGAATCCATATTTATATGCCACGTTAGAGACATTACTCGAACATTTGTATGTGTATTTGTGAAGTTGTTTGCTTCAGTTATTTTTAAAAAACTTCAGCCTAAGTTTTCTAAGAGGTATGTTGAATAAATTTTTTAAAATCCAGCTTAAGGGTCATGGCAGCCTTAGTTTGGGGGAAGAATAAATCTGAAGGGATAAAGTTCTGATGTATGTGGTCTCCACTTTCCACGGTGACTGATGTATAGGCTGCTTCCCGCTGCAGGCAGGTGACCCTCCGAGGTTGGGGTGTGGCTGAACTGGGACAGCAGACCCTCTGGCCCCTTCCACTCCTCATCATCTTTCTTCTGAGGTCACCTCTTAAGAGGGTCTCTGTGATCTTTCAGAAACCAAACACACAGCTTTGCTCTCCTACGGAAATTCTGCAATCTCGGGAATCATTACCTATCTCAACTATTAAGTTGCTTTTTAAAGCCTCAAAAGTGGAGTGGGGATGGGGGCCGGTGGAAGCCTGGTTCTTACTTTACCCAAACTGTATGTATAAAGAATAAAGTTAGCAGAATGACACCACAGTCACTGTGTTTTTTTTTTTTTAATTTTAATTAATACCACATCAGTTTGCAGTTTTACAGGAACCAAGATTCAAGTTCCTTAGGTGCTACTGTATCTTTATGTTGCACGCACGTACACGCACACAGTTTCATTAGTAATAGTTCATCTATAGGTTTTTCTTAAAAAACAAAAACAAAAACTCCTGTGTGGCACAAAGATCTGTCCAATTACCTAAACACAGCAGTAACAAAACAAAAGAGCTAGGTGTGGAGGCTTCCAGCGCAGAAAAGAGTCCTTTGGAGGGGAAGCCCAAAAAGTCGATCAGTGCACTGACTACTTGGGAGGGCATAAGATAGGATGGACAATGTGAAATCAGCTTAAACGTTAAAAAGGAAAGGGAGCTAAGTAAATAGGAAAATGGAGTAAGGCAAGGGTACCTTTTACCCATCTAAATGGCTGAAGTCACTTTTCCAAAACAGTAGAAAGAAAACTTCCACTACCTTCTACAGAGTTGCAGTGCTTTGGGACCGTCAAAGACTGTAGCCCTTACTTTAAAGTCACCAGCACACGTTCCCTCTGGATTACCATGACACCAAGTTTTACAACCTGAAGGAACTCACAGATGACTTCTTTCAAGTCGACTGAATTTTCATGTTGGAAAGGGAGAAAGACACTTGTCTCAACAGGAATCAGATTCCCGACCCCCCTCCATCTGATGTCTGTCTGGGTTGTTCTGTTTATCTTTTAATTGCACACGGAGCCCATCCACACAATCTGGTCCTGCCTGGTCGCCCTCACCTAACACTTCTTGGAAAACACTCAAAAGGAGCACCCTGGGCCAGGACAGAGGTGCTGAGACATTTAATGTGCCTGAGGATGAAAGGAACCCTCAAAACATAACACACACCCATAAGCTAGCCTCAAAGTTAAAACTCCGTATGAACCACAGAACATACTTTCTTACACTAATTTGTGGTCTCTTAACCACAAACACACACAAAATCTCCTCTCAAGCCAGCTTGGCTTTGGTCCTTAGGATACAATGATGAGCATAAGTTGAAGATGTAGCATGTGAAGGAGGAAGCTGCGGAGAAAAGATAAAAGCAAAAAAGGCCTTTTATGTTTCTGTATTCACCTCTTGAGAATGTTCCCCCCACCATGGACTGAGACAGGATTACAATAACTCAACAACTGAGGAGCCCACATGCAAATTATTTTTTTCTCTAACAAGTTTACAGCAGTGTACAGCAGTTACAGACATTTATTTCATAATAAGAAAAGTACAACCATATTTATTAAACTCGAGGTGAGGTGGGCAGGGAAGAGGGAGGAAAGCACATTCAGGAATGAGTTCTCAAACTAAAGCTCGGAACTGGTGCCTATGAGAATAGACGCAGGCGCCACCCTCCCAAATGGCAGAGACTTTCCTTTCTTAGGGGTGAGCAGGAGGGGAGGGTCGTCCCAGCCCCACCTTCCATTTCCATTCTTGGTTCCCAGATGGCATTCTGGGAATCAGGAACTTATCACCTACGGGTTATTCATAGAGTTGGAAGTTATAGCATTACGTGAAGAAGAAGAATATTAGGAGTAGCTGCTCACATTGTGGGGCAGGAAGATGGGATCAGAGGGCTGCCAGAAACCCCATGGTAAGGAATCCCACTCTTGTCCCCAGATAATTTCCTCATAAGTTAATCATTATTTAACTTAAAAATAAGGGTAAAACTCTGATGGGAAGCTGTGTAAGACTAGTCCTTGAGAACTGGATAGCAGAGTCCAAGAGCAGTGCTTTATCTTTCATTTTCTCCTTGACCTCCAATCTCTCCCCTTTTCAAGCTACAAGTAAAAGCTCCACCACCATTAAGGTACTGATTTATCCTATTAATTTGACTCTCTCTTTATTCTTTTGGGTCCTAAGATATCAGTTCTTTTTTTAGTCCAACAATTCTTGTGCTTGATACTGAGGGTAAAGGGAAAGGAGGGGAGAAAACACCAAATTAAGAAAAAGAAGCTTGGAATGCAGGCTCGAGCTGACACTGAGCACTTCCTTCATAGTACAAGTAATAACGTTATAACTATTAAGTGGTGTTTTAGTAACTGTTGCATTTCTGGTTCCCATGTACTTATTCTGCCTTCTTTTTTGCGATTCCAGGGAGTTTTGCTTGTATCCTATTGAAGAAAAAAAAAAAAAAGAAAAAGGTGAAAACAGACATTAGTTGTAGGTTTTTACTTTAACAGTGACACTGAAAGACAGCCTTGGGCTTGCCGGAGCAACGTGACAAATAATCTCCCATCTCCACAGGGCTTATTCTGGATGAAAAGAGGCAGGGGCTGAGTGTGGTCTGGGATGAGCCCAGGGGTCCGCAAAGACCCCTCCCCTCTCCCGGCCACCGTGCCTGCGGCCTGTCCTCTTTCACTGCCTGCACCTCTTGCGTCCCTCACGGGGGGCTCCAGGGAAGAATAAGGGCTATGTGGGCATAACGTCTGCGGCGTTCCACACACTGGCAGTGTAAGAGTCCATTTCTCTGGGAATGCTAGTGACCCACCAGGGCCACAAAAGGAACCAGAAGTCAAGGGTCAAGGTGACAGATAAAAAGACTACAGGAGCTGGCAACAGTTTCCGGCCCCTCACAGGACACCAAAGCTACCCTTCATTTTGTGCATTAAGGTTACCCATCGCTAAGGTCATTCACATACCTCTCAGCCAATGTCAAAGCCACTCCTCACAAATCCTAGATCCCACAGCAGGGTCTGACCAAGACATTAGTTTTAAAGCTAAGCTATGTCCGTATTTCACAATCAGGAGTAAACAGCAACCAGATACGTATTTGTGCTAACTGTCCTTGCCTGGTTTTAGCTCTAATGTATACCTGAAAAAGCAAAAGAGCAAGTAAAGACCCTGTCATCAAGCCAGAGCAGTGGGCGTATATTCATAGTTTCCACTTATCAAAACTGGAAAAAGCACTAAAATCGGAGGTGTGAAAGGGGCGGGGCGGCAGGTGTGTGTGTGCGTGCGCACGGACAAAAGAGATTTCGCTGCTTGTGGTTTATTTTTTAAATATCTGAATATGAAAAAATGTTAACATCTCAATAAGAACTGTGGGTTCCTTAGTATCTGCCATAATTAAAAAAAAAACCAAGCAAAAACAAAAAACAAAAAACAAAAAACACAAAAACACCAAACAAAAAACCCCAAATGGTTCCTTGGTAGAGAGAGTCATAAAAATGTCTACCAATATTTTATTACTTGATTTTAATATTAAATTGTTTCAAGAAAAAAGAGAAAACAGGGATTTGGTAGTTTCAGGAAAGGTAGCATTGTGCCTTGAGTCATTTATTTAGTAAAACTCTGATTTCTGAAAAGGGAAGGAAGAGTTTGCCTTAAAATTGATGCATGCAGGCGGGGGCAGCTGCATACACTTACAAGGCCGATTCAGAAAGGCAAAGCTTCTAATTCCATCGACCTTAAGACACAAAGGATGTTTTTTAAAGAAACAGGATGAAATAATTTGTAGTAAAATCAAACTAGTAACCATCATTTTTCTTCAGGATGAAAATTCCTTTCTTTGAATCAGTCTTTTATAGAGGAGGCTAAAAATAATTGGGAAAGAAAAGCAACACGTTCTGATAAAATGTGGAACTAAAGCATACTTACTTTTCAACAATCGACTTGGTCTGATCGCGGGCGATGCCAACATAGTGATCAATCTGGGTCTTTAAGGAAGGGAAGAGACTTAGTTATGGCAACACAAAGATTAACAATTTTCCTGAAGGTAATGTTCTGTTTCCTAGTGTCAACCACTTTTTAAAAACACTATTGCATATTCTGGGAAATGAAAATAATGCCAGTTTTTAAAATTCATTATTATTTTTTATTTTAAGTAGGCTCGACACCCAGCACAGGGCTTGAACTCACGACACTGAGATCAAGAGTCGCATGCTCTACTGAGATTGAGCCCGCCAGCTGCCCCCGTAATGCCCAGTTTTTATGAGTATTTTAAAAAACTTCAGGTATTGGGGCGCCTGGGTGGCTCAGTAAATCAAGCCCCAACACATCAGGCTCACTGATCAGTGGGAAGCCCGCTTCTCTCTCTACCCCCTGCTTGTGCTCTCTTGCTCTCTCTCTCAAATAAAATCTTAAAAACAAACAAACAAAAACCCAAAAACTTCAGGTATTAGGGGTACCTGGGTGGCTCACTCAACTCCTGATCTCAGCTCAGGTCTTGAGTTCAAGCCCCACGCTGGGCTCCACGCCGGGCGTGAAGCCCACATAAACAAAACAAAACCCAAAAAGACCTTCGGGTTTCAGACTTTAAATTATGCCATAAACACCTTATAATACTCTGCTGAAGTAAAAATCACTCTTTTGCTAAGGTCTTACTTGTTAGGTATTTCCTTTATAGATACTGGAGTAAAGCATTTTGTGAATACTAAAAACGGTCTATCTAATCTATATTCTGTAATCACAAATGTGTTTTGGCTCCTAGGTAAGACTAATTCATTTAATACCAAAAGGCAAAATTAAGCCTGTTGACTAATGACTTAATCTGTAAAGAATAACCTCATAGCATCTAGCAAGGCTTTGCATTCACCATTCCACAATGCAAACATCTCTTCACATAGATGGATTCCCGTAATAATAGCCTTGATAGTTTAAATTTCTTTTCAGACACCAGCTTTTATTTATTTAAGCATTTTTTCAATTTATTTTTTGAACAGATAATGCATCCACATGAAATACTTAAAAGACCCACACAACAAGGCATAAAAACATACCTTCCTACCCTTCTCTGTCCTAAACATTCAGTTTCTTTTGGTCCAGGAAACCACTATTTCTTACAGACTCCTGACTTACAAACTTAGACTGCAGACATGGTTACAAAGTGATTGCTCACGGGGCCCCTGGCGGCTCGACTGAGTGAAGTGTCCAACTCTTGGTTTCAGCTCAGGTCCTGATCTTAAGAGTCCTGAGATCAAGCTGGGCGTGGAGCCTGCTTGAGAGTCTCTCTCCTCCCCCCTCTGCCCCTCCCACTTGTGCACTCTCTCTCTCAAATAAGTAAATAAATCCTTAAAAAAAAAAAAAGACAGAAAATGATCACTCCAAACCTTCAATGCCTAAAAAATAAACTAAAGCTAGTCATACATCAACAGGCCTATCTGATTCGAAACAGACAAGCGCTCACCTTGTATTTCTCATAGACAATGGGGACACTGAAAATGAGCAGTTCGGCTGTAAGAGAATCACAGGACACAGCAAGTGTAAATGTGAGATAGTCAAAAAGACCCAAGACTCAAGTAACACACACATTTTTCCTCATGAAATATAGGGAAGCACAGATCTTCAATATGAGAAATCCTACCTAGGGCTCTCATTTAAGGATAGTTAGCTATAGGTACACAGGCTTTCTTTGTATCACAAATAATTTCCAAATTATGAAAATGATTTCTATAAGATCCCCATATTTAAACCAAATGTAGACAACTCTCCTTTATTTCTGGTTATTTTGATATTTCTTTATAGAATTAGGACCTTTCAAAAAACCTAAGGCCACATGGAAGGAGTGGAGACATGCTGGGCATTCTCTCGGCTCCTACTTTTACCAATTACAGATGACCCCTGAACATCATGAGGATTAGGGGCACGGATGCCCCATGCAGTCAAAAATCTGCATATAACTTTTGACTCCCCCCACCAAACTTTACTAACAGCCTACTGTTGGCCAGAAGCATTACCAAGAACAGTCAATTAACACATATTTTGTACGTTATATGTATTATACACTGTATTCTTATAATAAAGTAAGCTAGAGAAAAGAAAATGTTAGTCAGAAAATCCTAAGAGAAAATACATTTACAATACTGTACTGTAAAAAATCTGCGTATAAGTGGACCCCCACAGTTCAAACCTGAGTTGTTCAAGGCTACTTGTACTTCAAAGAGCATGGAGACATTTTCCTTGTCACCTTACCAAGAATCAGAAGGGTGATTCCATTGAAAACGGCACCAACATAGGTCATAAGCCACATGAAGACAGCCAGCTGTGAAGGCCGACATCAGAGGGTTAAGCAGGAACAATCATAATGCAAAATTTAGGTTAACTGATACCATTCTCCTCTTGCCAATTAAGTCTCCATAAATTTAGTGATGTATGCCATACATAATTATAATTTCACAATGAAGGTTACACCTCGTCTGCACCATACATTGGCAGTGTGCATCAGAGAATTCTGTAGTCCTCTCAAGCTCAAAGACAGACTGTGATTGCATTTCTGTCAATGACGTTGCCCTTGTTGGGAGGGCACTTAGTTCTACAGGTGTAGAAGAGGTCTTCTCTACTGACTCCTATCCCCATTTTTCACAGGTTGATTGAGATAAGCATACATTTGTTTTTATGCAAAATACATTTGCATATATTTACTGTTTTTCCTCTGAATTATAACCTAGTCCCTGGTTTTCCTCAGCCTCACCACCAAAAGCCGTAGAAGCAACTAACCTTCAAGGAGTCAACCAAATCTTCCACCAGAAAGAGACGAATAATGAGTTTCAGGGCTCTGTTGATGTGCACCATGGCAGCATTTACATAATTATGGAAAGCTTCTGAGGACAGAGTAATGTCTACATCCAGGTAGGCTCTTCCAGAAGAAAAAAACAACAGTCATACATTTGACAAGGAAGAAGATCTCTTTCTGTTAGCTGAGCAGTTATTTAGAGTGTGAAATTCCCCTAAGGGCACATTTTAGAAATCTGTAAGGGCATTTTTTGCTTTCATGGGCTGGGGAGAGGGCACCACTGTCTTTCAGTGGGCAGAAGCAAAGATGCTAGATGTCTGGAAAGTGTGGGACATCTTTCCTTTCCCATGTATTAAGAAAATATTTACTACCAAATACAAAAGTTATAAAAATTAGATGCTGTAATTCATACAACTTGACAAAACATATTTTATAATCCATAACGGTGTCCTGCAGAAGAGGAAAAACGCTAAGACATCTGAGCTTGTAGCAAAAGTCACATTTATTCACTCAGTGAACAATAAAGAATTGTCCTATGCCCTGCATAACTTTTACTGCCTCACAGGATATTCATGAAGGTGAACTAACTCATTTACAATTATCAAAAGCCCAGAACATATAAAAACAAGGTATTTTCCCCAGTTTTAACATATCCTGAATTTTCTAAAAAAACTGTATTTTGTTTATGCTAAACTTTACTAAGATATTTTACACTACTCTGGAAAATCACATCTGTACTGGAGATTATACATCTAAGTACAAGGATCTAATGTCTCTATTGTTTTGTGTGTGTGTAGTCATATCCAAGCAGTTAAATATTGACAGGAATATATATTATTTTACTATAAATGACTTTCTATCTTATTCCTTTATATTACAATTACAGTCTATTTTTGAAATTTTGTTAATAGAGATCTATGAATTCCATTTCAAAATGATAAAAGAGGCATTATAAAATTTTTGTTAACAAAAGAAAAAGGAGGGTGGAGATACTGAGTTTGATAGGGTGGACAACTATAGAAAAAGACAGAAAGACTTGGGTTCTGTTTGCAGATGCACTACAGAATTGAGATACAACCACGTGCTCATAACTTGTTCATTCACTCAGTACTTACTGAGTGCCTACTGAGTATCACACCCTCTGCTATGCACTGGCATATCAGGAAACAGAAGACTGCTTTTGCCTTAAAGAGCCTATAGTCTTCTGGAAAAAAGAGAAAAGGGACAGGCATGCTTTCCTATCCTATTAAGAAAATATTTACTACCAAATACAAAAGTTATGAAAATTAGATGCTGTAATTCATACAACTTGACAAAACACATTTTATAATCCATAACAGTGTCCTGCAGAAAAGGAAAAACGCTAAGACATCTGAGCTTGTAGCAAAAGTCACATAATTTATTCACTCAGGGAACAGCTACTGATTTGTTAAAATTAATTTGCGGTAACTTTTTAAATGCCACATATAGTTTAAATTGTCTTCTATTTTCACCAAGACAAAATAAAAGGACCAGAGCTGCAGCCAGACACCTATTCTGTCATAGTCTTGAGAGGTCACAGAAGAGTTTCTTTCCCTATGAGGAAAAGGTTTTGAAAAAAGTCATTTGTGAATATTAAAATTGTTTATGGGCTAAGATTTCCAAGAGGAAAAGTGTGAGGAAAACATTTGTTAAAGTTACAGCACAGAAAGCTAGCAAGTGGATTCTAGAAATGCATGACCTACTGACCTCAAGACTTGCTCCTGGTATTAAGAAAACTAAAGGGGAAAAAAAAAAGAAAACTAAAGGAGAGATAAGAAGGAAATCAGTAATAAAACTAAGAGCAAACATATCAAATTTTGATATTGCCAAGAGCACAGCCTCAATACTGAGATTTCAAAGCTGTTTTAAGGTTTAACTGTATGGGAGGAGGTGGGTGGGGGGATGGGGTAACTGGAGGTTGGATATTAAAGAGGGCACGTGATGTATGAGCACTGGGTGTTATATATGACTGATGAGTCACTGAACTCTACCTCTGAAACTAATAATACACTATGTTAATTAACTGAATTTAAATAAAAAAAATGTTTAAAAAATCAAAATCAAAACCAAACCAAAACAAAAAGATTTAACTATAATAGGGAACTTAAGCATGTCCTTGGGACCCCATCTAACCGGGTGCTGTCCTGGAGGCCCTGCTCAGGAATTCAGACAGTCTTCTTTGATCTTAAAGTGTGAGCCCCTAGTTTGTCAAAAAGTTCTTGGCTCCTAACTTGGTCACTTTTGAAGTGGCAAGGTTTCTAGTTGACGGTTCATGCAAGGGATCAGCTGCATTAGGCTCTACAATTCTTCACTTAGTCAGGTCTGATTGGTAGACCTGCCCAGCCTCGGCAAACCCCTTCTCTAAACTGTCGAGTGTTACTTGTGATACTTCCACTCACTTGAACGGATGGCCCTCTTCTGATTTCTGTACAGCTTGGATGACAGACTTGTAGACCCTGAAGCTGATGGTGACAGAGAGAAGAGCCAGGATGAGGTAAGAAACCACACTGATGACACTGAAAGCTGCCAGGGAGAGCAGCATGATCAGTGTGGTGCCAAAGACAAACCCAGTCTTCTTCACATCTCGCCAGAAAATCAGATCGTGCACTGCCAAAAGAAAAGGGGACACAGGTTACATGTGGCCACGTGGGCAGGACTGCTCTTTGGCTGTGTCCTGCATACCTGAGAAGCATTACACTAGCACGCAATTACAAGCGCACCCCTCCTTAAGAGAATCTGATAAGTGAAAATCAAATTGTATGTCAGGAGTGAGGACTCATACTGTAAAAGGTTGTGGTTTCTGGACAGGTCCACAAAAACTTAGAAATTTATTTTTTTAGAGATGGCTACTAAAGTACAATGGGATAAAGTGTCAATTTCTTGAAATGTTTTAGCAGAAAGGATGTAAAATTAGTGTGATAAAATCTTCTTAATTGTTGACTAAATTAAGCAAACCATGCTGATAAATTCATTTGGTCACTATAAAACCAAAGTTAATGTATGTATAAATTGGGTGGAGGCAGAAGAGAGTGGTGGATAAAAACAAACCAAACTCAGGGCGCCTGGGTGGCTCGGTTGGTTGGGCGACTGCCTTCGGCTCGGGTCGTGATCCCAGGCTCCTGGGATCGAGTCCCGCATCGGGCTCCCTGCTTGGCGGGGAGTCTGCTTCTCCCTCTGACCCTACCCCCTCTCATGCTCTCTCATTCATTCTCTCAAATAAATAAATAAAATCTAAAAAAACAAACAAACAAACAAAACACAACAAACCAAACTCTATTAGCGTTAGCTACAACGAAACACCAGTCTCTATGTTAATCTGAAGAGAACTCTCAGGAAGGATGATGGGTAGGGGACCACATCATTATCTAAACCGCTATACCTCTGAAAATGAATGGGGACACTATAACTAACTGTTAGGAAACAGGTATAAACCGAAACTGTCTCAGGGAAGTGGGTCTTAGGGTGTGGGACAGTCAAACTGGAAAAATTTAAGTTATTCTACTTAAAGACACCTCAAGAACTGTGTGTAAAAGTTTCTAGTAATCACCTTCAATCTAGCAATGACACTATGTTTGAATTTTCAATCTGTGAAGGTTAACTTCGACACTAATGGTCCTATCGCAGGTTTTTTCTGTTCCTAAAGAAGGGCAAGGGCTTTGGAGTTGGAGAGACAGATTTGAGTCCTGGTAATTTTTAGCCATATTGTCTTAAATGACCTTTCTAAACCTTTGTTTTTTCTTTTGTAAAATAAAGAAAGTAATGTCTATTTCCTAGAGTTGTTTTTATAGGAGGCCAATGCAATAGAATGCTTAGCATTCTAAATGACATGCAGTAAACACTCAAATTTTAACTACAACTAAGATATGATAGGTCTGCAAGACTGTGATTGAGGGTAAAATGAACTTGAATCTGTTCAAGTGGACCCCCTGGCACCTAGTTCTTCCCCATATTCCAGCTACAATACTCAACTCTGAAGCCTAACCTTGCTGGAGCCAATGGAACCTAACTTGAAACTTTCACACTAAAGGTATGCTGATTGTAGAGAAGAAATAATCACTGGTTCAGAGATTCCAGGAAAGGGATGTGACACTAGCAGAAGTAAGAGGCATTATGATTCCTGATGGGAAGCTGAGAGTCCTAGAGAGTGACAGTGCAAAGAAGAGAGAACTGGGAGTCAAGTCAGGCTCACCTGGTTGGACAGGAAAGCCGAACAGAGTGCTGCCCTCTTATGGAGCAAATACTAAGCAGGATTCCTACAGTCAGAGTCCTAGTATATAGATGTCACTGTTCCTAAGACCACAAGCACAGTTTCAACACAGAATGCTTCGGAATGGAACAGATACCATGTGCCTCTTGGTGTAATCCATGGAGGACACAACATCACTTCTGTGGTATTCTTGCCAAAAACATAAAACCTAGATCTAATAAGAAAACACCAGACAAACCCAGACTGAGAAATTTACAACAACATGGATGGACTTAGAGGGTACAACACTAAGTGAAATAAGTCAAACAGAGAAAGACAAATGTCATATGATTTCGTTCATATGCGGAATTTAATAAACAAAACAAATGAACAAAGAAAAAAGACAAAAAAACCAGACTCTTAACTACAGGGAACAAACTGGTTGTTGCCAGAGGGGAGGCGGGTGGGGGTGGGTGAAACAGCTGAAGGGGGTTTAGAGTAAGTACACTTACTGTGATGAGCACTGAGTACTGTACAGAACTGCTGAGTCATTACATTGTACATCTGAAGTTAATGTAACATTGTACTTATTCTTCAATAAAAAAATAGCAAAAATAAAGGAGATAAGATTTGACAACACTTAAATGCCAAGCGTGATGATTACAGACTGAACACTGGATAAAGGGGTAAAAACGGCTCTAAAGGGGCACCTGGGTGGCTCAGTTGGTTAAGCATCTGCCTTCGGCTCAGGTCATGATCCCAGGGTTCTGGGATCGAGCCCCGCGTTGGGCTCCCTGCTCTGTGGGGAGCCTGCTTCTCCCTCTCCCACTCCCCCTGCTTGTGTTCCCTCTCTCGCTGTGTCTCTGTCAAATAAATAAAATCTTAAAAAAAAAAAATGGCTCTAAAGGACACCACTGGGACAACAGACAAAATTTGAACGTGGACTATATAACTGATAAAAGCACAGGTGATCCTTGAGCAACACGTGTTTGAACTGCATGGGTCATTTTCGTGGATTTTTTTCTGAAACAGTATAGTACTTGTAAATGTATTTTTTCTTCCTTTTGACTTTAATAACATTTTCTTTTCTCTGGCTTACTCTAATACAGTACACAATGCATATAACATACAAAATGTGTGTTAGCTGACTGTTAGCGGTAAGGCTTCTGGTTAATAGCATGCCATTACTAGTTAAGTTTTTCGAGAATCAAGAGTTCTGTGGGAATTTTCAAACTACATGGCGCTCAGTGCCCCTTACCGTGATGTTCAAGGGTCAACTATGCTGTATCAATATTAAATTTCCTAAATATAAGTGTACTGTGGCTAGGTAAATTCTTGAATAAAATTCTTGTTCAAAAACGAAGACAAAAGGGTGTAAAGAGGCAGGATGTTTGCAATGAGCTCTTTTTTTAAAAATTATTTATTTATTTATTTGAGAGAGAATGAGAGACAGAGAGCACAAGAGGGAAGAGGGTCAGAAGGAGAAGCAGACCCCCCGCTGAGAAGGGAGCCGGATGTGGGACTCGATCCCGGGACTCCAGGATCATAACCTGAGCTGAAGGCAGTCGCTTAACCAACTGAGCCACCCAGGCGTCCTGCAATCATCTCTTACATAGTTCAGGAAAAAACATACATTGGGGCCTGGGTGGCTCAGTCAGTTAAGCATCAACCTTCAAAAAAAAAAAAAAAGCATCTGCCTTCAGCTCAGGTCATGATCTCAGGGTCCTGGGATAGAGCCCCGTATCAGGCTCCCTGCTCAGCCAGAAGTCTGCCTGTCCCTCTCCCTCTGCCCAGCTCGTGCTCTCTTCCCTCTCTCTCAAATAAATAAATAAAATCTTAAAAAAAAAAAAAGAAAAAAGAAAAAACATGGATCTATGGAGAGGGGAAGGGAGAGATAAAGCAAAAGTAGGCAAATGTTAACAACTGCTGAACTAGAGTGAAGGTTATATGGGAGTTTTTTTGTACTATAATTGCAATTGTTTAAGTTTGAAATATTTGAAAGAAAGAAAGAGAAGAAAGAAAAAAGCTTACAGGGTAAGACTGGGGCCCAGAGAGAAAAAGACTTGAATGTATCAAAGAGGGGTAATGACACTAGCCTATGTGTAAATCTAGATTGGCAAAAGCCACCCTGTCCTCATGAATCTTGCTGCCATCTGCTGGAAAACTGTCATAAGAAATAGTCAAACCTACAATGAGTACACATGTGAATGGTGTCCCCTAGAGGTGTGCAGTACACAAACTGCACAACAGTATTAAGGCCCTAGGCTGGGTCTTAAAAAAATCAATGGTAGAATTATGGTTTGGTCTAGAAAAGGGACACACTGATTAAAGGGGGGGCGGATAACAGAGGGAAAGGAAAAGCTGGTTAATCCCTCAAACCTCTGTCTGGGATGCTCTTCCTCCACAAAGTCACATGACTTGCCCCTTCACCTCATTTGGGTCCTCGTTCATGGGCTACTTCCCTCAGACTGCCCACCCCACCTAACATCCCCATCCTTTGATCACACTCCATCTCCTTATTCTGCTTTCTTTTTCTTTTTTTTTTTTTTGAAGATTTTATTTATTTATTTGGGAGAGATATTTGAGAGAGAGAGAGAACGAGAGATAGAAAGCACGAGAAGTAAGAGGGTCAGAGGGAGAAGCAGACTCCCTGCTGAGCAGGGAGCCCAATGCGGGACTCGATCCCGGGACTCCAGGATCATGACCTGAGCCAAAGGCAGTCGCTTAACCAACTGAGCCACCCAGGCGCCCCCTGCTTTATTTTTCTTTAAATCTGTTCATAAGTGCTTAAAACATGGGCTAATAACCACAGTTTGCATTTGTTTCCTGACGATCTCTCTCAATCTATGAGAGGCCAAGTTTCTGCACCTGGAGCCTATCAAGTACAGCGGACCAAGGATTCTGAGCATACATTACCAAAGAAAGGAACTTGGCACAGTTTGGAAATGCTGTCCTCTGATCGTGGAGGAAGAGTTAGGAGGACCAACCACATGAAGAAAAAGGCAAGGGGGCACCTGAGTGGCTCACTCGGTTAAGCGTCTGCCTTCGGCTCAGGTCATGATCCCAGGGTCCTAGGATCAAGACCCGCACTGGGCTCCCTGATCGGTGGGAGCCAATGCTTCTCCCTCTCCCTCTGCCACTCTCTCGCTCAAAAAATAAATAAAATCTTTTTTTTTTTTTTAAGATTTTATTTATTTGACAGAGAGAGACACAGCAAGAGAGGGAACACAAGCAGGGGGAGTGGGATCCCAAGACCCTGGGATCATGACCTGAGCCGAAGGCAGACACCCAACAACTGAGTCACCCAGGTGCCCCAAATAAATAAATAAAATCTTAAGAAAAAGAAAAAGGCAAGAAATGAGGCAGCTGCTGGAAGTTTAAAATGATGTAGCCTCTGGACTTGGTTTTAGTGTTTGCTTCA